TTTATTATAATAAAGAGAGTTAATCTCATTTAAGAGTCCAATGTGGGAATGATTCTTAACCCTTCAAATCCCACAACCAATGTTTTACGAGCCCTTTTATGGTTAACTTTAAAAATTTATTTCTCATTCACCAAAAATCAGTTTTGAGAAAATAAATATACCACGAGTATCTACTTGGAACGTAGAATTTTTCTACAATATTTAATTCAACTCAAATTAAATATTTAGCCATCAAAAATTCAGTCAAAACCGGGTCAAACCCAAGTTTTTTAACTGATTTTTCCAACATCTTGGACATAATTTTCAAATCTTTGGAGACTTTTGGAGGCTAGGAACACGAGCAAGACGAGGAAGAAAGCCGGAATAAAGAGATCGACGGAGCCGAATATGCTTTTTCTTTCTTTTCCTCTTTCGAAATCAATGTTTTATATTTATTTTGAAAGCATAACCTAGAATCTATCTTTTATATCTTGATTTATTTTTATTGTTTTAGATAAATTAGTTCTTATTTTAATTTCGTAGTTTATAATCATGATCCAGATTCGTTAGTCTAGATAATATTTAATCGTCATTATTTTAGTACTTAATTAATTTAACTACAATCTTTATGGAATACGACCTTGCTCGCCACTACCTATAGCTACGCCGTACACTTTCGAATAGCGAAAATAATTATCGAACATAACCAACATTGACTGATAGATGGATTTGAGCTTTTGATGAAAAGGATTGTTTCCAGTTGCTAATGCCTACTCTCATCTGATGCAACAGAAACTCATGAAATTGGACATAGAAGAAAGTAGTGAGGGAGCTGAATTGAACAGGAGAACTAGAAGGAGTTGAAAATTAAAGATTCAAGGGAAGTGTTGTGTACAAATTATTCTTTTTACCGAGTATCGAATCAAAAGATTCGTTCCCCGAGTCGATCTCACGAGGAAGGTTGTTCGGAATTTAGCTTCGATATTGATAACACACAAAAAAGAATAAATTCTAAACACTCTAACCAAATAAGGGGGGTTGAGCGATTACCAACTAAGAAATAATAAAACCAATAATCTACCTAAGAATGCAGACGAAACAAAGATGGAGATGCTAGGGAGTCGGGGATAATTAATTCAAGTTCTAGCGAAGTTGGGCAATCAATTGTTCGGTTCGAGATTGACACTCTCGCTTACACATCTAGCGGTTCGCTCCCAATAACTCTTCGTAACAAGGGATTGAACATAGACGTAGAAGCTTGAGCATACAAAACAAGTCAACTATCCCAATCCCAATAACTTCTAGTAACAAGGGACGGGTCATCGACACGCACGTATTTCAATAAAAAACCTATAGACTATTCAATTACGAAATCATCTATCTCCTGTTAACCTATTTCTACGACTTCTCCACTTTCGGTTCTAAAAGTTGCTAATTAGATTAGAAGGTGTTCAATCAACTAATCATAGAAATCAATAAAACCAAACTCGACAACTCAATATCCAATTGTTACCAATTACGAGATCGAAGTGTCACCCTTCGATTATATCAAACTATCAAGCTCAATTTCATCAATTCTAAATTAAATCAACTCACATAAGAATGAACAATTTAAGCCCGACAAAATGCAATTCAAACAAGAACAATCATCCCCTATCCCTAGCACTAAGAATTAGCTACGTAAAATCGATTCAACACAATCAATCATTCTCTCCAAATCAACCATTTCTAGGAATTGAATAAGAAGAGAAAAACTTACAATTAATCCCAAGTTCAAGTGTTGAATTCCAAATACAACCTTAATCCCTAATTATTAAGAAGAAGAAAAAAAAAATGGAAAAGCATGGTGAAGAGAAGAGGAGAAGAGAAGAAAAAAAGAGGAAGAACAATGGAGGGAGGAGTCGATTTTCAGATCTAGGGTTCCTCTTCCATCGAGAACCCTCGTCTCCTCTCGTCTACGGTGATAAAGATGAAGAAAAACTGAGTTTGGGGGTCTTAGGTTCGATCTATTAAGCTTTCCCATTTCAAAATCCATAAAAATCACGCCTGTTACAAAACAGACCTTGACGCCGCTAAGGGGTTAGCGGCACTAAGCCTTCTTAGCTGTTAGCCTTTGTCCCGCTAAGCTTCCAAAACGCTGCTATCCACACTGGCCTTAGCGGCGCTAAAGCCCCCGGCAGCTTTGCATGACTTCACGGTTTGGGCTCGTTCGGACTCGTCTGGTATCAGAATTTAATTCCGCTTTTTTCTACACGTCGCTAACGAGCCCCTCTATTCAATGATGCTTACATGGCCAAACTATTCTTGAAATCCAATTCTGCCAATGCTTATGACCAACACACCAAAGACGTGCTTCGCGCGACTTCACATGTTGGGCCCGTTCGGACTCATCCGAGCTTGAAATTGAGCTCCGATTCTTTCTATATGTCGCCAATGAACCCGTCTACACAACCATTCTTGTCAATTCAACTTTTTGGCTAAATCTATTCCTCACGGGCTTCTGACCTGCACACTAAAAACGAAGAAAAATCAGAAAAACACACGGATAACACAAGAAAAACCAAAATAGAGCGAAACACACAATAAACACTAAAAGGAGCTAAAAATCGACGAAAAGACATAACATGGGGGAAAAAGAAAGGAAAAATAACAAGGAAAAACGCAACAAAAATGGGACAAACAAGAAGCTCAAACGTTTCCTATGAAAATGTTATACTGATACACTTCCAGTCAGTCTGAATTTGAGGAAAAAGGGTATGCTGATTGACACCATCTGCCAAAATTGTGGAGAAGAAGATGAATCGGTAACATGCTTTACTTTTATGTAAAAGAGCAAAGGTTGTATGAAAGCAGGCTCCTGTGAACTGGGATGGTTTGGAACACAAAATGGAGAAATTTAGAGAATGGTGGTGGGGAGTTTGTACAGCGGACAGGAAGCTAAGCTTTGAGGAAAGAATTCAGCTGATCACAAACATTATGTGGTGGCTTTGGAAGTCTAAGAAATTGTGGAAGTTTCAGTAGATTATAATGCCAGAGAGAGAAGTGGTCTAGTTCTACGAGATTGGATGGAGTATGCTAATGCTAACAAGGTGTAGAGTTCCAGTGGAGGTGAGGTAGGCTACTAAGTCTAGCTTTGGTTCAGTGGTAGTTGTTTTTCATCTTGTTCTTTAAGTACTGTGTAGATGGTGATTGTTGGAAGTTATTTATCTCTGAAGGGGCTGAAGATATTCTTGCCTTTAGAGTTGATTTGGTATTTGTATTGATGTATTAGACCACAGTGTGTTGTGGATCTCTTGTTTGTGTATTGGACTATTATGTCCTCCGGCTTGTGAGACTGTACATTTTAGCTGAATTTAAATCTATTGTTTGGTTAAAAAACAAAAAAGAAGATAAATTTGAAATTTGAGCTGCAAAATCTTGACACGTTGTCAATAGCTAGGAGAGAAATGGACCAGGGAGTTGACCCGATGAGCCTCACCTTAGGAGCCGATTGAAGATTGAAGGAGCTCAGATCTAGGCTTGGACTTGTTTTCTCGCCATACCTGACTAGCCACTTGAGTAAGTCAGAGTTTTTAATTCTTGAGCTTAGATTTGTAGTTCTCGTTTGTATTTAATTATGGTGTTTGGCTCGTTGTAGTATTTGACTCGTGTGTTGGTTAGTGTGGTTATAGTAGTGTGCTAGCGAGTTGCAGGAGAGATTGTATTCTATTGTTAGTTTAGGTGTGCGTTGTGTTGTTTTGTGGTGTGTTTGGGTTGTGGGTGTGTTATTTACCATTGTTGGAGTTTTAGTTTTGTGCCCTTTAGCGCTTCAGTTTGATTTTGCGGCTGTAGGGTGCCTTGGAGCAATTGTACTCCATCGGGGTAGTCCTCTGCTAGTTCAGTTTACTTGTTGTTTGATTCAGCTGTTCGACTGTGCTAGTTTGTAAGTATTTATGTGTTATTAATTACTCCCTCCATTTTTAAATAAATATCGTTTTGAAAAGTTGCACAGTAATTAAGAATATTTTTTTTACCAATAATAGCCCTCATTAATGAAGATAGAGATGGATGTTTTGAGAAAAGATGAAGAGTTAATATGAAAAAACGTAGTGTATTTATTAGTTAAATGAGGGTAATAATGGAAAACTATGTACAAAATATTCAAAACATCATTTATTTTATTAATAGTTCATAAAGTCAAAATGACATTTAAAAAAAATGAAGGTAGTGTAATTTATTGTTTCAGAAAGAAGAAGAAAAAAAAAATCAATGGAACCTTTAGGCATACCGAAAAGGCAACGGCTTAACAAATTGCTATTTCGTAACGATTTCATGGGCTTGGGATTTGATTTTCTTGAAAAATAACTTGAGGAACTACAGATGAACTACACACGTGTCCTGTTTGTATATGTCATAAAGCATTTGACTTATACCAGTTTATGGGTTTATTGAATATAAAACTCTTAGAAGCCTAAAAAATCTTTATCAAGTCTCAAGTTAGTTTGACCAACAATTAAGCTGCTTAGCTGCACATATAGTAGTCACAGGCTGAAGACCAAAAGATGTGAACTGTTGAATATATAGTTCATAAGGTGCCAAAATTGCATAACAAACCTGAGTTTGAATTCATCCTACGCAACGTAACAAAATACATTGATTTCAAGCATTGATGCTTATCACATTTAGCATGGGAGAAAGACTTTTTTTTTTTTTTTTTTTTTCCATTGCTCATCTATTCTCTCATCTTCCCCATACAAATTTCTATATAAACCTGACACCACAATATAAACAAGCACACATAGCAGAAAGAAAGAATAACCCTAATACACATTTATACTAGAAATGGCTGCACTCCTCCGACTTTCATTTGCCATACTCGTCGTTTGGCTTCTCCTCATCACAATCGGTAATGATAAATTTAGTTACACTTGTAGTCCGTTTAATTTTTTTTTTTTCCAACTCATTTATTTATTTCGTGGTTTGTGTAGATGTAGCGATGGTAGAAGGCAGGACGTGTCAAAGGCGGAGCAAGACGTGGACCGGGCTTTGTGGCGTCTCAAGTCACTGTGACAATCAGTGCAGGAGGTGGGAGCACGCGGCACATGGCGCTTGCCATTACGACTTCCCTGGATTTGCCTGCTTTTGCTATTTCAACTGCTAATAGACCACACTCCTTCCTTTGTACTGCTATGGCTTAAAGAATAAAAGGATGCCATTACGACTTCCCTGGATTTGCCCGCTTTTGCTATTTCTACTGCTAATAGACCACACTCCTTCCTTTGTACTGCTGTGGCTTAAAGAATAAAAGGATGTCTGATTCTGTTTGTGGCTAAAGAAAATAAAAAAAATTCCTGCTTTTGTGTTAGTATTGGAGATTTCATGCACCTTGCTACCAAATAGAAATCGGTAAACAATTTCATACTTAAGGAGAAAGCCGAGTCTTCCTCTAAAGTACACTGAGCAATCAGTCTACTTTTTTAGTCACCTGGTGACACATTTATTGTCGAAAATTTTGAAAAACGAAAAAGATTGAATTAAATGAACTACGAAGATCCACTTCCGGTACTGTTATTGCTCTTCATCTTTCCTCCGAGTCAAACCTATTCCATGCCGCCTGTTTGCAAATAAGACAAATGACAGTAAGGCTGGCAGGATGCAACTATTTCAAATGATCATCAACAAAAAAATAAAATAAAATAAAAAATAAAAAAAATGCGCGGCAATGTGGACTGGACAATCTGAGGATAACAAATAATTATTATATATACCTTGAGAAGGTCAAAGACCTTTTCACAAATGTATTTTTGGTGAATGTTGGCTCCTCTTTGCTGCAATTTATCAGGATGTACACAGAGAGTGGCCTTTCTGTAAGCTTTTTTAACAGCAGCAGTTGTTATGATCTCAGTCAAGGATACTGACTGCCATCCACTGTCCGGTCCTAGGATCTGCGCATGAAAGATCGGTTAAAACCAATCATTAGTTCACTAACATCAGTTTAAATGCAGCTATTGGATTCCTTTTTTTTTTTTTTTTCCTCTTATGAAAACACTAAGAAGAATATGATAAGAAATGCACAAAGCTTCAGATATTCGCTATTACATAATATCTATAAATACATTTTGTTTTTGTGTAAAGTTACTATACTAGGTTTTACTAATCCTTAGCTTTGCAGATGAACTGTAAACCATCTTAAGATTTTATGGAAGTCTACCGTTTTAGAAGGAATAAATACATACATATTGCAGAGTCGAGAGTAGTGCACGCAAGTTGCCTTCCTTCCCAGTCACCCATCTTCTAATATCAGCATCCAGAGATTCAGCTAGTCTCTGCAATTAAACAAATATAATAATAAAAAAAAAAAAAAATCATAACAAAAAGTACAAACAATTTTCATTGCTAAAAGCACATCTACAGAATTTAGCTTCAGAAGTATTACATTTCTCTCAGCCTGCTCTTTCTGGGCAAGAAAATCACGCATATTTTTCTCCGCAAGGGCCTTCGCCTGAAAAACAGAATTGAACAGGATATGAACTGAAAAATACTAAGAGACTAAAATATCTTACTCCAGTTCTAACTCGTAAGTATTAATCTAGAAATCAAACGAAACAAATGAGTACCGCTCTCTCCATTGTCCTCTGATGCCTCTCTAACCTCGCCTTACGCCTCTGTGCTGATTCACTACTATTTCCATCAGCTTTCTCCAAATCCTTTAAAGAATATTTATACATAAATACACAAAGCTTCAATCATTTTTACTAGCATAAAAATGAACAGGGTGAAACATAGAAAAAGTTTAACACTCACAGAGGATGAAAAACTATGCTTCAGCCCATTACTTCTAGAAGAACAAGAAAACCTCACCTTAGGGCACCTCTCAGCCTGTGCTCTCGTCCCTGCACTAGTTTTATGAGACCTCGCTTTCTCCAAAGCCCGCTCACGGGCCTCGGTTGTTGCCCGTTCCACTGCGGCCCGTTCAACCCGGATCTTGGCCTCAGCTGCCAACATCTTGTCTGCAGGCTTCTCCCGTCCCTCAGCCGCCTTATCTCTTTCTCGGGCGGCCCTCCCTCTTTCTGCCCGTTCTCGGGCCTCCGCAAATGCCCTTTCCCGGGCTTCTCTGATTGCTCTCTCAACGGCTATTCTGTCTTTTTCCCGCTCTCTGCCTCTCTTGATGGCCTCGATTCTTTGCTGCCGATCATCCACCTGGAATGTTCCCTCATTTGCTTTTGGATCTTTCTTCTCTTTAGAAATCCTTTCATTGTTTTCCGAGTTTTGATCAGCATCATATTGTTCCTTGATGTTTTTAAGTTCTTCCTCGCTTGAGGTGATGCCGTTTGTGTTTTCTTCACTTTCTCGAGGCTCGTGAGCCATTACTGGCTCCTCTTTATTCCCTAAAGGTCCTTCCTTTCCAAATGTTTGGTCAAAAACAGCAGATGTTCTGATATGCTCCTCATGTCCATTCATTAGACCAGTATTTTCTGTCTTGCTACCCAATGAAGGACCATCGGGTTGATTTTCTTCAGCTTCGTTATTTGAGTCAACATCAGATTGCTCACTGGAGTCGCTGGATATAGTCATAGTATCACTGCTATGAGTTTCATTGAAGCCAGAATTATTACAATGGGAATCATCAACAACCTCGTCATTAACCTGAAACTTCAACGTATCACGATTTTCGTCGCCCGTGTTATCAGTTTCTTCACTATCCAAAGAAATTTTACTATTCTGAGCATTGGAATTTTCTTTTTCTTCGATTTGTATATCTTGCATGTATTCTTCGCATAATTTTTGTCCATCATGTTCAAAACTTGGTTTCTTCTCATCAGTTTCTACCTCATGAACTTTATCTACCTGTTTCCCAATTCCCCGAGAAATTTCAGGCTCCATCTTTCCTAGTTCTTCCTCAGCACTTTTTCTGTGTGGGCTATCCCCCTTCATCTCAAGGCCACTTCCATAATTATTCTCCCTGTTTCCTTGCTCCGCAACATGTTCCTCAACCGAACTTCCCAACTTATTCAACAAATCACCATTAACCTCTTTTAAATGTTCACCATAAGCCATTTCATCATGCTCCAAAAATTCCTTCTCACACTTACCAGCATTTTCCACTCGACCAACACTTGACTCGCAATGTTCCACGCCAGGTTTTGCTTCCTCACATTCTGCATTACCCACTAATCCTTTAAAACCAGTCTCGTCTCTAGCACATGCGTCACTCACCTCAACTTTTTTCCCTGCAACTTCCGAGTCACCCCTTTTGTTCAATCCACCTTTAATTGCCCCACCATTTTCCCTCATCCCCTCGGCCCCAGTTTCGACCCTAATTTTCTTCCATTCCTTTGTCAAACGATGCTTGGACCTACTTTCCAAAGAACCATCCATAAAACGTTCTTTTTTCCTCTCCATAATCATTTTTGCAATTTTTATGCTTTCCTCAGCCTGCTCAACCGCCTTCTTCAAGGCAGCAGCCGATAAAGCCGCCACAGAACTCTCATCTAATTCCTCGTCAAATATAGGAGGCAAATGCACACCACCATTCCTGATTTCATTTGAATCACATGACTTATTCAGTGAAGATGAATAATGCCTTACGCCTTCTGTTTTTGCCTTATGAGGACTTCCGTCAACAAAGTAGGTGAATCCGGGGACCGCGTGAAGTTGGGCTATGTGGTTTTCCCCATTTGACGGGTCTCCATTCATACTCGGACTCATCTTATTAAACGACATGATGAAATGCTGCTTGGTTTCGCATGGATCGGGCACTTTGATCATTCTTGAAATTGATTCTCGATCAGGAGACTGCTCATGTGCCGGAATCCTGCAACAGTTGCATGGATTCAAGACACAAAGAAATATCTCCATAATAAAAATAAAGTAGAAATGGGAAAATATTAGTAATAAAACTTGAATGCCGAATGAGAATAATAAAAACAACGGAAAGATAGCAAGACAAGCTAAGCATATCGAAAATCATTTGAACGTATTTATGGACGTTGGATGCTAAATAATTGTTCAATGAAATTTACAGCAACTGTAGTTAACAACTTGTGATGTAATGTTATGGGCGAGTATTTCCACTTTTTTTTTTTGGAACCGAATCCAAGTCAGAAACTGAGATGCCTCGTCTGACTATATAAACCACCAACCGTATTAATATCCAGTTATCCACGACGCAAAATCCAAATAAAAAAGTAACAATAAAACATTTACGACGTGCAGAACAATTAGCTGCACGTTGGAATCCACGGAACCAGCTGTGCTTAACATTTTGTGATAGTAAAATTTAGCCCATTTCACAAAGGAAAGTGAAATATACGAAAATACATATTATTGCAAGAAATTCATCCACCCAAATCCTGTTACTTTAGGAAATCTGCTAGATTTTTGTGACTCAAACACAAAATAAAATACAATAGTCCTCTTGCACCAAAGGTATAGAGAAAATCGACATAAAAAACTCTAGAAGTGGATCCCAAAGGCTATAGTGGAACAATCTTGAAGCCGCCATATAACATATCTTTCAGAGAAATCCGAATGTGCTATTGGCGTTAAATGGAATTACCTAGTTATTCGTTGTAAAGACTGCAGAAATAGTAGGGCAATAATTAAGTGGAGCCTAAACCACTGTTATCTTTATTTCCTGTATATTTTTCCTATTTTAATATCCTTTTTCTGTTTGCTAACAAGATGCATTTTTTGGACCAAAGCAAACTTTCCCCCAGTTTAAAACACAAAGCTACCTTGGCTTTAGAGGCGCCTTTTGGAAAAACAATATTCAAAACTGCTCATTTGATAATCTGAGGTAATCAGGTAAGGAACGAACACAAGTAAAACTAAAAATCAGCTACCTTTCGGCCTATAAAATGTCAAATGGATCAAATTTGTCTGGAGGAGAAAAATAAAACACACTGAAATTAAAACAAACACTTGCAGTGGGTAGCATATGAATAATTTTCATTACATTCCCAGCTAACACAAACAGTCTAACAAGCCAATGCTTGCCGATAAAGAACAACTTTTTCGAGAAAGATTCCAAACCATATATGCTATATTGTCTAAAACCATTACAATCAACAGACCAAAAGTATTTCCCTGTAGCAAGCACAAAGATGATTAAAATATCAAAAACTTAAGTTTGCCAATGAGGAACAAATTCATAACTCGTAAGCCCACAAAACCACATAAACTAAAAAGAAAGCATCAGCAAACGTCACTAAGCCACAAGATTGCAAAGGGACATTTTTGTAACCACTTGAACAATCCAATTTTTCCACTAATGTTCATGAGTTCGAATTTCCTTTTTAGCAGTTGAACGCACACACACACACACACACACACACACACACAAACGAAAAAAAATAAAAAAGGAATTTCTGTTAACTCACCGAGTTTGGGTTTTCTTCTGAGCGCCACTAAGCAGCTCGTCATAAGGCACAGCCGCCTCACCGCCCCTCAACCCACCGAAAATGCTGGAATAATCGAGCTTGGAGCTCCGGGAGCCTTCCGACCCCACCCACTTGTCCAGGCCCAAAAGATCTAGCACCGGAATGGAGGACGACGAGCCTGAGAAAATCTCCGCGTACTTGTTCGCCGGTGAGGGGTTTGTGTCTCCAGAAAAGTGGCTCTGCAAGTCGGACAACGGGAAGAGGGAAGAGAGAGAAAAATCAACGATGAGAGAGAAACGGCACTACTAATTTTATTTTATACCTTTTCAGATAAAAACTTCCCGGTTATGTTTTGGAGCAATAAAGCGTGGAGTCTGCTGTCGTAACTCGTAATACGCTGCAGCAGGTCTATGCACGAGAGCCAATTATATCGCGCCTTGTGTCTTTTTTTTTTTTGGATTTTTTTTAACTTTGTGTCAAATTTTAGATTTTGCCATAAAAAAATTTTTTATTTTGACAATTTGCATCTCAATGTCATCCAAATTAACAATTTGCCTCATCCATTAAAAACCTAATATGACACAAAAGGGTTTTTAAGGCAATTAATGATAAATTTTAAATTAATTTTTAAAATTAATTGAGGGTTTTTAAAGCCATAGCGAGACAAACAAATTGAGGTATGGTCTGTCGAATTCTAAAAATTGGTACATATATAATCGATCCACAAAGAAAGTAGGAGCACGTGTGTATAGAAAAAATATCCATTCAAAGTTTTCTGATAATCAAGATATCCGATTTTTTTTATCAAAATGTGTCATTTGAAAGATTGGGGAACGAGTTTTCAATCGAAGTAAATCTTATGAAAATCCAACGGTCGAATTTTGGTTACTAGCCTAAAAAAAGCTAACTATTGATCAGTAGTTTTCTAAATACTTATCAACATCCGACTATTGGATTTTCATAAGATTTACCCGTTGGAAAATTGGTCCTCCAATCTTTCAAATGACACATTTTACTCGAAAATCGGTAATCTTGATTATCAGAAAACTTGAATTGAATTTTTTTCTATACACACGTGCTCCTACTATTTTCGTGGATAGATTACCAAGGTATCAAATTTCAGAAATCGACAAACCATACCTCATTTTGTTCCTCTCGCCATGGGCTTTAAAAGCCCTAATAAATTGTAAAAATTAATTTAAAATTTATCATTAACTGAGTTAAAAACTATTTTGTGTCATATTTGGATTTTCAATCGAAGAGGAAAATTGTCAATTTCAATTACATTGGGAGGCAAATTGTCAAAAAAAAAAAGTTTGCATGGGAAACTCTAAAATATGGCATGCTTTGGAGGTTAATTTTTTTTTTTCCTTTTTTTTTATGAAATACTAGTTGTTTTATGTTGTATTTTGTAGGGGTAGCATTTTTTTACCGAAAATGAAAAAGAACCGAACTGACACGAAGAAGTCCGAATCAATTTTTTCGGTTTCCAAAATTGGTAAATGAAATCATTTCGATTCGACATTGAAATTGAAAATATATGTTTCGGTTTTTTACCAAATAGAACCGAAAATCTTTAGAGTGAAAACTTCTATATATCTTAAGCCTAGGTCCATAACATTTAGCTCATGTCTCATGTACATTGCCATAAATCGACTCCTTATGGTGGAGTTTGACTTTTTTTAGTTGATGAATGTGTTGGAACCTATGAGGATCTCGATATGCACAAATCACGGACAAACATTCAACATAAACCTATGCGCAGCGGATCTAAAGGTTTGATGAAGAAAACTTACTGCTTCAAATTTATGTAGATCTGGCTGGCCCAAACAGTTGACCGCAAATCAAATCTTCTCGGAATCGAACAAACTTGACCAATCCAGAAAGCTGACGTGACGGCGAAGTCAACGGCGTTGACCGGTCGGAAAACGGCCTTCTCACGCGCTCTCACGCGCGACGACAAGTTCCAGCAACTGCTTCCTTCCGGCGGCGCGTGCGGCGGCGGTTGGCGGCGATCTCGACGGTGATCTTTTCGTCTCGTAGTCCTGGTCGTCGTGGTATGGTCACTTGCTGGTTTTGGTCTCCAGTTTGGATGTATGATTGGAATCTCTATATACCTTAAGATCTTCTACTGTATTCTCAAACAGCTTTCTAGATCTTGTATCAGTGGAACACAAGAAATAGAAGAACTCTTTGGAAAGAGAGAGAGAGAGAGAGACGGACGAAATATAGAGCTTATGGGATTGTCTCTCCTCTTCCAAGAACCTAAT